TGTCAGCCTATCAGAAACGTCATCTATAACCTTCACTGTTTGCAGTTTAATCTCCCCTGCCTCCCCACGGGCCCTGTTCTGACATTTTAAACCCCATAAATGACAGTAGTGCTCTAAGCCATTTTGAAAAAAGCCAAGCATTTGGAAAAAACACACAGAGACATACCCCTAAATTCCCCGTCCCCTGAACACATGCTCACTCACGCTCATAAGTGGAATCACACACATGCTCACATCCCTGTGCTGGCCGATTTGGGAGAAGTCACAGATACAGCCAATGTGAGTGCACGTGCGTGACAGCAGGCCACAGATGGATGGAGGCATGGCCGCGTATCTGATGCCCGTGTACGCATTCCAGTGGACCCACAGCAGACATACCTTTCTGCTGCCGTCCTCAAGTCCCATCCATTCTCCTGCTCCTTGGCCTTGAAAGACAGTGGAAGAAACCAGGGTCTTCGAAAGCCTGGTTCTGAGAGCAATGGGGTGGCAGGAAAGGCTGACAGGCCCCAAATCGTACAGTGTCAGGCTAAGATGTATATTAATAGGCTCAAGGTCCCCACTCTTGGAAAGCCCAGGGGTAGAAGGGGATAGCTAAGCAAAGTGCACTCCACCCTCTCAGCAAACAGATAGCTTACCACATTTGGGGACTAGAGTGAAAACAGGAGACCCAGAAATACTTACTAAAGGGATGTCGTGTCTGAATGCAGAAGGTAGCAATGGTGAGCTCCACAGAGGCAGGTCTCTATCAGCTCCCAGCTGTATCCCTCGGGCCTGACACAGGGTCTGCGACACACCAGAGGCTCGTAAATACTTGTTGAATATATGACTAAAAGAATGTATAAGCTCTAGAGTGAGTAAGTGTGTGTGTGTGTGTGTGTGTGTGTGTGTGTGTGTGTGTGTGTGTGATCCTGATGGTGTTGGAGATGGGAGATAGGCCAGTTAAAGACAGTTTCTTAGAAAAGACGAAAAGTTCCAATCTGGGACTGGGACAGAGAGGCCCATGTCACATCTGGTATCCATTTGTTCCAGGGTACGTGGCTGGCTTTTCCTGCTTTGGACTGTGACTTTACAGCAAGATGTCCCCACTCAAAGATAAGACGGACTTCCAAATGAGGTGGGAGATGGTATGAGTGGTGAATTAGGATTACCTTTGTGCAGTCCTGGGGCATTTTCCTGAGCCGGGGAACTTGTCTCCTTAATGTGCAAGGCATATGTACCTGCAGAGGATAGGGACAGCCCTGCTGATGCTGAGGGGCTCTGTGGATCCTTTGTGGCACGGCTGGCTCCTGTGGCTCTCCCTCCCACCACCTCAAGTGATCATGTACTGTCAGGAACTGGTTTCCATGGCAACCAATTAGTGTCAGAAAGTGAGGGCTGTGATGTCAGAATGGGGGGTAGGGTGAGAAATTTCCATCCCCCATATCCCTGGCTCCTGGCTCAGTGTCTGCTGCTTTGCAGGGAAAGCTCTAGAAGAGATGCAGGACATTGCACTCCTGAGAAGCACACGTTCTGGGTCAGGGCCCAGGAGTCGGGACAGAGTAGAAGATCTGATTCACCTGGCAGTGTCCCTACCTGCCACTCGACTCCAAAATGCTGACAAGGCAGTGGGCCCAGTAGAGAGACAGTGTGAGCGTACTCAGAAGGGTAACAATAATCTGAGCTGCGCTCCTCCCTCTTCCCTGGGAGAGGGATCCTAGGCTTGCTTTATTCGTTGGGGGGGTGGCTGTGAACAAAGCCCAGAAGGAAGGAAGTCTTGGCTCAAAGAAGCCTTGTCATACAGCTAGTATAAAGGCAGGGCTACAGTATAGTTAAAGCATCCTAGACTTAGTCTTCGCTTCAAGGAGAAAGGGTTTCAGCATAAAGCTTGTCCAGAGTGACTTCGCCCACAGGGACCCTGTTTTCAGGCCTCATTTGAGATTTGTTGTCACCTCCCCCAAAGGCTGGATGTTTTGGTCTATGGGAGGAAAGTACATGCTTTAAATAAAAGGGTAGGGAGCCCAGCTGGGAATACATCCAACAGTGTAGGAGAGATCTCTGGTAGGCACTTAGCTCCTGATTCTTAGGGCAAAGAATGAGATATGGGTAACAGAACTCCAGCAGTTTGAACCTCTAGGTCTTTGGGACCATGGTTTAGCTTCTGGCCAGTCTGGGGAGGTCATTCCAATAAGAAGACAAAAGGCAGAATGCAAAGAACCTTGTCTGTAGGGGAGAAAAGAAGGTTGGCCGTTCATTCACTGGACTTCATGGCCAAAGTATGTTCCCCCCATCACACCAGCCGGGCAGGGCCTGCTGTAACAATGACGAGGACGACGATGATGATGAGAGACAGCACCAGCTATATTTTCATAGCTCGCCACAAAACACCCTCATCCTGCAGTAGCCCCATGGGTGGGTAGGTAGGCAGGACTCGTCTGCAGGTTGGTCTGGAGGCAGACTTTGGGATGGAGACCAAGGCGCTAGAACTTTCCTGGCGAGTGCCCTTGGGATTATCACCAGTGCAAGAGAAGGCATTTCTCCAGAGGGAGAAATTGGGCTGCGCTGTAGTCTCAGAAAAAGGCCTTCACCAACCTCAAGGGAACTCTGAGGCAGGGATGGCCCTTCTGAACGGTCCCGAGGTAGGGAGAGGTGGCTGGGCCTTCCTATGTCCATGGTGACAAGGCATTGGATGCAGGCTGCCCAGGGAAAGGCATGGCCTTAGGTGAGACAGCTCTCTTCGGCAGAGACAAATCCAAGGGAGCCTGACAGGGCAGGGCAACAGTTGGAGGCCCTCCCTCAGTACCCAGGAAGCACAGCATTGCACCCCAGCCTCCGCCATAGCAGTTATCTCTCTCCTTTTGAAGATGACGAAGCTGAAATTCAGAGAGGTGTGATGAGCTCCTTGTCGCACAGCTAGCACAGAGGCAGGGCTACAGCATAGTTAGTCCCAGCATCCTGGACTTAGTCTTTGCTTCACGGAGAAGGGGTTTCAGTGGCAAACTAGTCCAGAGTGACTTTGTGAGTACATCGTCGAGCGATCACTCGCGCTGGGCTCCATGGAGGATAGACAGTAGGAGCTTGGGGGGTGATGGGGGGCTGGAAGGGGAGCTCAGGGTACTACACCCCAGGGGCAGACAGAATCAGGGTGCGGTGACCCTGTGCCAGGCCTCCGGAGGGCCCGCTCAGCTCTGCCGAGGCCCAGGGAGCCTCCTTTCCCTCTGGAAAGTGGAGACTGTGGCCTTCATCCCTCTCAGCGCAGGCCACAGAGCTGGCTGATCTGGGTCACAAGAGAAAAAATCCTGACAGATGTGTCGGATTGGCCAAAAGATGAGGGGCTTTGAGGAAATTATTCTGCCTGCTTGATGCCTGGCCCTTGGGCCTGCAAGAAATGAAGCCCTGTGGGTCTCCCTGGGGGCTTTTGGAAGGGGGCGGCATGGCAGTCAGCAGGGGTCCAGCAATGGTCAACCCCCTCCCCGGCCAGCCCCAGGGGCAACAGCCACCTCCGGAAAGTCTGGCAGAAGATGTTTGCTGGGGGATTGACAGAGGGGAAGGAAGAAGCAGACAAGGCGACAGAGGTGAGAGACAGCAAGGTTCCCAGAGAACAGGGCAGGAGCTGGCTCTCTCAGAACTAGCCATTCCCGCAGAAAACTGAAGAACCGAAGTGCCCAGTCTGGGCTTGTTCGCAGGCTGCTGGACCGGGCCACTCAGGTGCTATTCAGGATTTGGGAGGTCATCGAAGAGGGTTGTATGTATATGTGGTAGGGTTGGGGCGCGAGCCATGAGGGTGAGTGTGGGAGACAGAACGAAGGGAATCCACACCCTCCCTCGCCTTCCACGCTGGAGTTGCCGAGGCCACAGCCTGGGAGGGACAATGGTTCTTACTCTTGTTTTTCTCCACTCTTCCTGCCTAGGAGGTGGGAAAGAGCCTGAGCCACCACAGGGGGAAAGACCCAAAGGTACAAGGGGCCGAGGGACAGGGACCCAGTGGCAGCTCCGGGGTCTCTGCTAGGGAGACTCACAAGGACTTGCTGGTCCCTACCCAGTCCCTCCTTTGCCCTGAGAGTGGTGGGCACGTGGCCCACAGTCCTTCTAGCCCTTTTCTGGGAGGCAGGAGTGAACAGCAATAGCTTCTGTCCAGGAGACTCTGATTGGAAAGGGATTGTTAGTTTTTTAGTTTTTGGTTTTTGGTTTTTCAACTCTGCCAACTTGCCCCTCCCCGCGTACAAATTCCCCTTCGTGACCTTGTGACTCTTCCACTAGGTCTCCTTTCTTCTTGCTTCAAGAAAAAGCCAGGCGGGGAGGGCTGGGGACCAGGGAGGGAGGCGAGGCAGCGGAGAGGCTGAGCCGATCGCGGGTCTGCAAGGTGCAAAGCAATCAGCGCAGCCGCTGGTGAGCGGGGTCACTCAGTAGTGTGCACATCAGGGTGAAATCCTTTCAGCTCTTCTCCAAACCCCTAGTGAAAGACAATCAGGCTCGCTGTCACCGAGCTAATTCTGTCTATATAAAAGCAGTAATGAAATTCACGGCAGGATTACCCTCTCCATCCAATGGGCCAGCGTCGTGGTGACATATCTCTCTTATTGCCCGAATGTAACACACCATCTAATTTACGTCGTGTAGCGAGCAGGAATGAAATGTTCATAAAGAATTGCTGCATCTCGTCACCTTAACTGCGGCCCGGGGCTCTGAGGCATCTGTCAGGGAGAGGAGCAGGAGGAGGGAGGGCGGGCGGGGCTCAGGGAGCAGCAGCCGGGGGCAGGCGTTCTGGGGGGTTGTTGTTTCTTAATAGGGTGAAGTGGAGACAGAGGGAGGTAGGGGCTGGGGGGGGGGCAGCTGGGGAGAAGGGGGGGGGGGGGGGCACGGAGGGCCTTGGGAGGCAAGGATCATAAGGGTAGGATGAAGTGGTCTGTAGGGAGTGTTTGGAAGTCGATGTAAGTGTGGGGAGCCAGAGAATCTGAGAGTATGTTTGGGTTTGGGTGAGTCTGGGAGGACAAATGAGTGCCTCAGTGGGGGTTGGTTGGGAAAATGACCCTCTAAGGTGCCTCCCAGATGCTGCAGGCTGTCTTGTAGTCTCTCTCATTCTCTGGAAATGGAGATGCATCCACCTCCAAAGGCTATCAGAACGAAACTCTTGGGTGGACGAGGTAGGAGACCTTTTCTAGAAGTGAACAAGGAGCAGACAGATGCTAGGAACAAGTTTTACAGAACTAGGAGTTCCCCATGGCTCCTCTGCTCCCTCATCTGTCACTGCACGACCCACCATCAGTGAGCCATTTCACTTACCTCCCCCCCCTTTCTATTTCCACCCCCTCGGTCCAAGGCCACTGCCATCTGTTGCCCAACTGACTCAACCCTCTCTACTGTGGTCTCCACGGGTGCCTTCCTGCTCCCTCAACTTCTTGCCCCCTCAACTCGGCCGAGTGGTGGTCATGTCACTACTACGGTCCTTCCACTCAAAACCCTGCTATAGTGTGCCCTTGCTTTTAGGATGAAGACTGGAACCCATGACTCCAACGTCTTTGCCTCACACTCTCCGTTGCAGGCCATGCTCCAGCCATATTGGCCTTTTCCTGTTGTCTCTGAATGTGCCACATTCTAAACAGCCACTGGGGCTGTGCATGTGAGGTTGCCTCTTCTTGGAAGACTCCTCTCAGGGCAATAGACCACTCCAGCATGGCCTTCACTCCTCCCATTTCACGTATCAGCTGGCATGTTACATCCTGGAAGAAGCCTTCTGGGCCTACCCAGACTTGGCTAGTGTTCTCTTCCTTGATATGCTTTCTTAGCATCATTTACTTCCTTTTCAACACAGATCATACATCGTACGGATTCTGGGTTTTGTACAACTATTTGATGACAGTCTGTATTCTCCCACTGGGCTCCCATGATCTCGTGAGAGCAGGGGCCGTGTCTATTTTGCTTACCATTGTAGCTCCAACACCTGGTACATTACTCAGGAACATTGTAGCCACTCATTGAATGGCTTAAATGAAGAAATGAGGGGCCCGAATAACCACTACAGGGGTAGAAACCCTTCTCCTTCCTTCTTTCATTCATTCAGCAAACATCTACTGAATGTCTCCTAAGGGCCAGGCATTGTCACAGGCACTGTGGCCGCATGGTAAACAATTGAAGACATAGTCCCTTCCCCTGAGGAGCTCACAGTCAAGGGAGGGAGAGAGACAAACTCTGGTGCTAAGCCTGTCCCGTGCTGCTCACTCCAGAGAGAAGCTATGTCCTGGGCCCACTGTGAAAGTCACCTACGAGAAGTGGCTGATCTGGGGCCCTATAAAATTCTCCTAAATTTCCCCCAGACATAGCCCAGTCACCACTGGGGGGAAGATACAGCAAAAGAAAGAGACTTTATTAAAGGGGCATAATTAGAATTCTTTTACTAGTGTTAATAAGAAGCATTTACTGAGAATCAACCATGTGCCAAGCTTCTCTTCTCATGTAACCCTCACAATAACTGTGACACCTAGGTATTATTATCCCTGTGTTATAGATGAGGAGACTGATGCCAAATGAGTTTTTTTAATGTTTATTTATTTTTGAGAGAGAGAGAGAGAGAGAGAGAGAGAGAGAGAGCACGAGTAGGGGAGGGGCATAGAGAGAGGGAGACACAGATTCTGAAGCAGGTTCCAGGCTCTGAACTGTCAGCACAAAGCCTGACACGGGGCTCAAACCCATGAACTGGGAGATCATGACCTGAGCCGAAGTTGGACACTCAACTGACTGAGCCACCCAGGTGCCCGTGAAGCCAACTGAGTTTAAATAGCTTGCCCAAAAGAGGTCACACACTTGTCACACAATGGATGCTCAATAAATATTTATTGAGTGAGTGAATGAATGAGACACTAATAAGTAAAAAAGACAGGAATCAAACCTAGGCTTTCTGGCTCCAAAGCCCTTGGTATTTCTACTACTTATTTCAGGCAACTATTTTTGGACTCTCAGGGTCTGGTCTGTATTGGCGAAATAAACTGACGTTGGACTCTAGACCCATGCTTCCTCCTGACCCAGACCCTAGCCTCTCCACAGACACGGGATACCTTAGAAGACCAGACCTGAATCTCTGTGGGGAGATGCCCATAATGCAAACCCTTCCCAGTCCTGCCCTGTCCTTCCTCTAACACCCCAGGCTTGTGTTAGCTTAGTAAAAAGTCTGGGAAAGTCTTTGTGAGAGATGGAACATCATTCCTGTGTGTATAGAATCAACCACATCTTGTGACGTGTCCCTTTTGATTAAGCCATGTGGTCCTTTCTCATGAACTCAGAGATATTTACTCACCAGATGATATGTATCTGTGTGGACATGTTGTGTGTGGACACGTGTTCATGGATGCATACGCGTGCATCAGTGATCCTCTCCTTGCACCAGTTCTCTCATATCCCATGATGTGCACTTTCCAAGCATGCAGACCCCTGAGTCCGCACCCTGAAGTTCCCGCCTCACAGATGTCTCCAGATATATGCCTCTGTAGCTGACTTTTCCTCTTGCTTCTGTCCTCTGCCCAGGAAATTATGTGACCCTCCAGCTAATGTTGGCAAGCCGCAGAGTAGGACTGTGTGCCACGAGCTTCCTCTTATTTTGAGGAAGTTCTGTTCCCTGGCAGAGAGTAACTTTCTCTGTCAAAGAGCTGGTGCATAGATGCATCATCAAAGAGAAAATATATGCCTGGCACACAGTAATCTCTCAATTCGTGTCAGATATTAACACTATTGTAGCTCATTTGTCCTCCCTGACCAGAGGGCATCCCTCCTTCTTCCCACAGCCCTCCTAGGGCTGGAGGTTCAAATAGCCCCATCTCCTCCTGCCAGGGAGCTGAGTGAGGCTTGGTGCACTTACAAGGATCTCCTGGGTTTATAGGGCTCCAGGCCATTGCCATCTATATCTCTCAGTAGGACAAAAATCTTAACACACCCCTGGCAAGTAGGAGTCACTCATATTTTTTAAAGTCTCCATAAAGTAAATCTCAAGAGTCTCTTTAGACCCTGCATCCAAAACCTTAAACTCCTAAGACACAGATTGTTTCCTAAACCCATTCTTCTGTAGCTGACATCTTTTCTCCTGGGCCAGACCTGAGGCCAGACCCACTGGCCAATGCCCACCGGAGAAGCACGATTTCAGTCATGATGCCTGATACTTCCAACCGCTTCCCTCTGGCCCAGGTGGCCTACCCTCCCAGCTAGTGATCAGTTTTGTGGGCTCTGCCATGAGCTGACATCCTAAACCAGACCCACTTCTTCAGGTGAAGCAAGATATCATTGAAGTTGGATGGATACAAAGCAAGGGCAGGGCAGGGGGAGAACGAGAAGGGGAGATCACAGCAACCATCACAAAGAATCAGGATCCTCCAGACAATATCTGTCCTTCAGTTGGCATCAGGCTTTCCTCTCACGGTCTGTGGAAAGCCAGGGGCTGTGCCTAGGGGTGTATTAAGTTTTGTTTGACTGTCTTTGGACAGACAAGAGGAGGGAGGAAGATTCTGTGGAATAGATAAACTAGAAGAGGTTGGTGATGGATTAAAAATTGGAATCCAACCCTGTCAATGTGTTTATTTCATTTCCACATTCTCCTACCCCCTTTATTCCCACTCCTCTTTTCCCTTCCCCCAGACTGACATAAAATGATACCCTGATGGCTATTTCAGCTGCAACCCTATATACCCAGGGAAGCCTGAGCCCCCCAGCTGCTGGCCAGCTCTGATCCCCTAATCCCAGAGGGACCAGCTGGTCAGAGTTCTCAGGGACGGCAGACCTCAAGTGCAAATTTGGTTTCTGCTTCCAACAGACTCTGATCATGGCCAGATTACTGAGCTTCTCTGTGTGCTGGCTCTATTATCAGCATCCTGCTCCCCCGGTACACATACTACCCCAGATGATAGAAAGAAGCATCCTGAATTTCTTGAAACACTATTCTAGAAATGCACCTTTCCATTTCCCATTGTAATTACCACATCGGAATTTAGTCCCCATGCGGGTTAGCTTGATCTTGGGTGGGCCAGTCCCCTTCACTATTGGCCTGGACGGTTGTTTAGTCATCGGCCAGCAGGAGAGAGAGTGGGTCAGTGCAGCTCAGCCCTGCTGCAGAGTGCACGACCCATTATGAGAACAGAGAAGATAATTTTCCAGCCTCCTGGCATGTCTGAGGGCTTTGTGAATACCTACCGATAACACATGGTTTAAAACCTTATCCACGGAAAGCAACAAAGAGGATCCAACCTGCTTGGAGTTCAGTTGATGGCGAGGGGATGTCTGACACGTCGATAAAACTGAAAGGCCCTCGAAATGAAGAGTAATTGATGACTTGGACAAACAGGCATAAATTCCTGTTAAGTGTGGCTCAACGCCCTTGCTCTCCAGGCCCCCCCGCCCCCCCCCCCCCGGCCGGCCCCCCGCAACCAGGAACTTGGTTTTGGTGGTCATTACCTGCTCAGTGTCATTAAATTCTCTGGTAATCCACAGGGATATGTAATTATGCTGTAGTTAGTGGTTGTTCACTGAGTAAACCCTTGGTGTACTTACCATGTAAGTCAACGGTATTTACAGGATATTTTTTCTGCCTGTAACTCAAAGCCTTACCGAAACAAATTGGAATTGCCTTCTGGAGGCCGTTGTTATAAATTACAGACCCAACATCTGTCCACATCTGCAGTGTCTAGACAGCCTGTCTCAGCTACAAGAGAGGAGAGAGATGAACGGGGGAAAGCCAGAGAGACGTGAGGAGTGGCAGAGGGAAATCTCAGATTTTTCACAATTTTTCTCTACTGAGGTTTACCCAGATGAATCCGTGCTGACTTCTGAAATGGACCTGAATCTTCAGCAGCCCAACACCAAGCTCTGGAGAGTTCAGGGCCCGGTCATCGCCCCTGGATGTATTGGTGATGCAGCTTCTTCCATTGGGCCCCTCTCTGCCCTGACAGGCTCTCGGAGGTCACAGCGAGGCCCATGGCCCCAGAAGATGGAGTTACAAATACGAGGCTGACTGCGGCCAGATCAGGAGAGTCGGCCTGTTCTCCCAATTCCTTCCATCCCCTCTCCTGCTCCCTGACTCTTCCCCCCACCTGGTTTTTCAGGGCAAGGCATTCATTTGCCTGCCTCTCCTGTGGTCCCTTTCTTGCACCCACGATAAGGAGCCTGCCCGTCAGCTGAGTGATTGTATTTTTTTACAGTTCCTAGCACAAACCTTCTCATTTATATGTAAAGCAGCCATTAGTCATAGCTCCGTTCCCACACACTGCCTGATGTACAATCACATTTTGCAGCGGATGAATCTTTCCACACAGCTGCTCTGCTATGAATAATCCGTCTCCAGGCCCATAAATCAGAAAAAAATCATGCACCTCGTTCGCCTGATCCTTACACAAAGTCATATATTTTACATGAGGACGAGCTAAATATTCATGAGTCTTAAAGGCTTTTTTCATAGGCACTTGTTGGGGTTGTTTTCTACTATTGGGGGGATACCGGGTTGTATTTAGTAGAACCAGGGATTTTGGAAAGGAGAGAGGAAAAGGAGGTGGGAGAGGATGTGTGTGTGTGTGTGTGAGAGAGAGATTGATTGAGATTCCAAGCTTATCTCTTAGTCTAAGCGTCATGTGGGACAAAGGATGCTCATGTGAGGTCTTAAAAACATGATAAATACTTGTTTACTGAGCTTCCATTCTGCTCAGAGCCATGGATATTGCCTCTCTGACCTTCAAGGTCATTTCACGATCCTTTGCCTCCTCACCCGTGCAGCAGTGATTTGGGCCCTTCTCTGTGTAGGGAAGTGGCTGGGAGATCCACCTGGATCTGATGAAAGCAGAATTTGGGGGTGAAGGAGGGGAGACAGTGGGGAAAGAACAGATAGATGTAAAGGAAATCACTCTCATGCTAACAATTCCCTCTGACCTACACACAACTTCAGGCCTCTAGCAGCTTCCTAGTAATTTGTTTATAGCCCCCTTTTTTTTTGTTCCAGAGAGCACTTAAGGTAGCTTTCCTCACCCTCTGGTTTATTTCCCTCCCCTGGGCTATCTCCTTCCCCTCACCCCCTTAACCTCAGGCCCTGATCACTGTACTATCCTCTGGGTAAGGCTTCTGCTCAGCCGGCCCATACCGCATACTCTCCCCATACTGCTCCTCAAACTCTCTTTTCCCCTAAATGCAAAATTTGATCCCTCCAAGGAGCTACCTTCTGTTAAAAAAGGAGTTACTTGCCTTGCCCCCTCCCCCACCCCACCTTCCCTAGCCAACCCACTCATCATAGTAACCACGCCGCTGGCAGGTGCTTCTTCATTTTTTTTTCCAGTACTCGTGCAGCATATGTGTGTTCGGTGGCCTTGTCTGACTCATTAATGCCATGGTCTGCAGTGGTGACGATGATGTGCCCTCACTTCCCTTGGAAGGGTAGAAAATTCTTCCTGGATTTCACTGACAAGATTAAGGACATATTTCTAGGTAGAGGTTTCTTGGATTCAGCTTTAGTTATGGAAACACACAAAAGCCCTCAGACCCTTTGAACTTTCAGTAGATAGTGATAATGACTGGGTCCCAGTGGCTGTTCTCAGATGAAGAACTATGTCAAAACTGTAGTGGCAACTCTGTGGGGAAAATCACTTCTCTATTTAACAGATGGGCAAACCGAGGCATAACCCTGGCGGATTTCTTTCTCAAAGTCAAATCAAGAGGAGATGACAGGAAGCTGCAATGATATCTGAGTTAACTTTTGTGAGTTTGACTCAAGGCACCCAGCTTTTCCCACCAACCCCCAGGGCCAGAGGCCAAGGATCAAAGCCTTTCCCCATTTCTCTAAGTTCTTTGGGCTTCTGTACTGCTCTGCTGCCTCTTGCTCCACCTGCCCTCAACCCTCTCTTGCTAACGCTCACAAAGAATCAAGTGAAAAACCCGCCAGAGAGGAGGAAAAAGTCCAAACGATCACAGATGGCAGACTCGCACATTTAATTTAAAATCATTCTTTATTATCCAAAATATTAAAATTAAAGCTATAATGCCCAAAGGAAAACACAGATTAAAACCCCCTATGTTTCACTGCCTCTTCCTCAGGGGGTCCCCAAAACACTGAGCAAGAATGCTTTGAAAAGAAAGCAGGAGTGCAGGCGCAAAGAGCCAGCTGTAGATCACTGAGCCAAACACTCGGTGACTGACCCAATCAGCTTCCCTTAAAGCCAAACACCAACTGTTTCATATGCAATTAATGATTGCCCTGGCAAGTGAAAGTGCATCAAGTCGTCACAGGTATCCTTGAACGAGAAGACACACAGCAGTCACAGGTAGCTCGTCCCTGGTATCTACATAATGATATTACCAGGCTAATCTAGGCTCAGAGATTTAATTCTGCAAAACACCATGCGCTAAATATTTATATTCATAAAAGGGCTAAGGGGAAAAATGCCCATGTGCTGCCTCTAGGCTCCCCATTTGTCTAAAATAGGTTGCTGGATCATTTACTGTACGGTTGGGGGTCAAGGGCATCAGTCAAGTGTCAGTAGAATCCCGGTGTTTCTGGCCTGCAACTTCACCTTTTGGAAGGGGCTCATTGCTAGACTGGGGATTTGGAGGTACCCAAGAGAATGCAAAGCTCCTTCCTTCTCTGGAGATGCCAAAGCCAAAGAGGAGCCTTCCTCGTATGTCGGAGCTGAGAAGGGGCAGAAGGATGGCTGAGAATATCTGTTCCCCATTTTCTGGCGCAGAAAATCAAAGTCCAGAGGGGGACGAGAGACCGTTAGCATCGTCCTTTACACATCTCAAATTCTCATTTGTAGATACTCTTCCAGTTACTGACGCTACTACCATGCTTGAACTATAAAATTGAAGAGGGACTCTTCAAATAATCATAAATAAATCAGTGCTGATGGCCTTTTGGATTTGTCTCTGTTTCCTCCTAATTCTGAGTCATAGTCCTTACTCGAATGTTCTCGTTGCAGCACACTGCTGGGCCTGAGTGCCTCCAGCATATAAGGCACAGGACCTAACCCGGCTTGGCCTAGCCCCTCTCCTAATGGGATTGCCAGGATCACTTCTGTGTCTATCCTGGAGACTGCTCTCCTCTTCCCACTGACATCTCACACCCAGTTCTTTCAACCCAGACCCCTCTGCCCTTCCTCTCTCCTTGGCAGAAAATGCAGATGATGGAGCCTGTCTGGTTCCCCGTGCACACCATGACTTGGAGCCTTCAGCAACTTTTCCACCACTCTGCATAGTGTAGTCAAGATGGGGTCACCTAATAAAAATCACATTGGTTACAATCCAAAAAGATTAACCAGCCTTAAGGGTTTCATGGCTATGCATTACACTTTTCAATTTTCCTACAATTAAGCTAGCGACAAATAATATTGACAAATAAACTGCCAGATCCGCTAGCTGGAGCCCTGCCGTGGGAAGGAGGGTGGTGAGCCCTCGCCTAATCGGAAGGTCCAGCCTGTGAGTTCTAGCATGCTGGGGCATTGGCACTTGAGCCGTATAGGTGGAGGGGTGATGAGGAATGGGTGCCGGCTGCTGTGCTCCTAAACGAGAATAAAAAAGATGACGATCCTGACTCTTGACCTGCTGTCACCTCTGGGGAGTTTTCCTGGTTTCACTGATTTCTCAATCTCCTGCTCGAGAAAATCCAGGAGGTCTATATTCTTATGAGGCAGAACGATATCAACTCATTAATTAATTTGGAGTCCAAGATCCAGGGCCTGAAATAAATTAGACCTAGGGCTAATAAAATTGGGGGGCAGGTTGAGATGAGAGTCTCCTCCAGAGGAAAGCCCTCCCACACAGATGCTGATAGAGGTCTGTGGAGGCCAGACTTTTCCCTGCTTGGCTGCCCCGGCACTAGGGAGGGCAGGAGGCTGCAGGATAGTCTGGAACCTGTCTGCACTATTTCTAGTGCTCAGTGTTGGAGAAGAAGACCATGGGAGCAAGGGCTGCGAAGGGAATCAGGATCATTGTTGTTATTTAATGAGAATTTACCATGTGCCGGGCGCTGGGTTAAGTGCTCTCACTTGGCAATTTATTTAATCCTCATCATCTGTGAAGTAGAGCCCATTCTCTATCCCCATCTTACAGTCAAACTTAGAGAAATTAAATAGTAGCTCATGGATTGAACCCAGGTTTGGGTTCTAGAGCCTGTGCTGTTAACCACAAAACTGTTGAAAACTGCCAAGTGATTGTAGGTACAAGAGAACTCTCTTTCTACAGCAGGATCTAAATTCTGATCTAAGCTAGAAACAGGACATCTAGCCTCAAAGTTAGGTTCGTGTTGATGCTATGTTTGATCTTCATCAAAATCCACAAATATCTGTCAAGAACCCAGGATCCTGGGCCCAATGGGAGACTGAGGGACTGTCCTTTGTTCCTCAAATTATGACCTAAGGACAGTCTTTAACTAAATCATCTGGGAGGCTTGTTAAGATGCTGGTTCATGACCCCCACCCAATCTTCTTGATCAGGATCTCTGAATATGGGGGCTCGTGAGCCTGCTGTTTAACAAGCTCTCCGGATGATTATGCATCCAAACGTGGGAAACAGTTGGTATAATCTGTGAACACTGGCTTCCAGTAGTTTCAATCAGATCCCAAACCTCCACTGTGGTATCCAGGCCACCAGTCTGACCCTAGGTGGCCCTCACCTCCACTCTTCCCAATCGTTCCAGCCTTTCATACACGCCAGCTGTGTTCTCCTATCTTCGTTCTAATTCACCCTGGTCCTCGCCCTCACCTATGTATGCCTTCCCCTCCACTCCTCACTTGGATCTGGGTTTTACATACGTGGGCCTGGCATGGCGTTTTTCTCTCCTCTCCCTCTCCCCCTCCTTTTAATGTAGTTTTTATTTAAGTGTAATATACATACAGAAAAGTGCACAGAATAATAAGGTTACAGCTCAATGAATTTCTTCAAAGTGAATATACCCGTGTAACCAGCATGAAGTCTCTCTCTTTTTTTAAAACACAAATTTGACTCTAAATAGCACCAAAGAGTAATTTAAGTCTTAATCTCTTAAAGGGACAGCAAAGAAGGGAAATTCCACCATACATCACTGCTTAAAGACCTCTGCTTATAGAAGCTTCTCCCCACCAAAATCTTTCTCCCTTCTTCCACTCTTCCTTGTCACAAATACTTATTGAGCAACTACCACATTAGGTGCTGGCTAGATAATGCTGAACAAGATATACCTGAGTCCTGATTCAAGGGCACTTGTAGTCCCACGGGGGAGACAAATGAAACACAAGTAAGCAAACAATAATTCTGAATTACGATGAATGCTCTGAAGGGACTAACTGGGTGCCCTGATGCCTGCCCAGTGAGACAGACCAGTCAGGAGAGGAGAAAAGAGCGACTTAGGTGAG